TCTTAGCATTTGGTTACATGCCCATTGTTTCTCCCACTCAGCCGCAAGCCCCCAAGACCAGGGACCTTGCCTGTCTGCTTGTTCGGCCTTCTTCCAGCACCTGGCACATTGCTAACCTCAACATGTGACTAGGGCATGAATCAGCGAATGAATGGGGGTGTGGGAGAGAAAGAAAAGAAATGAAATTCTTCACTTCTTTACTAATTTGGACTAACTGGAGAAAAGTCAGGCTGGTTTGGGAAAACCTGCATGACAGGGCTCTTTAAAAGGAGTGAAGTGGATGCTTTCCAGTGTGCAAAGTAAGGTGCCCAAGTTGAATAGGGTGTTGCCTCTAACCTTCCACAAATGAACTGTTTTGAATCTACAAGCAGATAGAATGATTTGTAGCGGACCTGTCAGTTGTGAATGTGTTTCTAAGTTGCTAGAAAGTTTATTCTCTTGAGTCATTTAAATACTTCCCTGCAATCTTGTTGGTGTTCCTCTGCTGATAAATTTCCGGATAGTAAAAATAATGAATTTCATCAGAGCCTTCCTATATATTTCAAATGCGCAAATTCCAACTTAATGACACCACCGCCCCCAGCATGCCTTTCTAAGTGAGTGTGGGGAGTTGAGGTAGCCCACATCCCTGTCCACACCGCCGTGCTGGCGAAAGATGTTCAGGGACAGACTTGCACCAAGGAGATCTTTGGGCCGATTTACCGTCTGCTAAGGCCTTCAAAACTCTGGTGTTTCCCAAGGTCACTTTTTTAAGATGTGACATTTCTGTAAACACCTAGGAATAAAGCATACACTCCTTTGCCTCAAGATGTTGCAAACACACAGTCCACCTCAAGACCTGTACAAGCACAGCAACTTTATTAATAGTTGCCCAAAAGTAGGAAGCAACACATACATCCAGCAGCAGCAGGAAGAATGAACAAATTGTGACACAGTCGTGCGGTAGGATACGGCACAGGAGTCAAAAAGGAAGAATTTATCGACGCGCTACAATGTAGGCAGATCTCAGTCTTAACTCATGTTGAGTGAGGAAAGCCAGCCACAAAGACTAAGTGCTCTGTGAGTCTCTTTAGATGAAATTACAGAGCAAGCAGAGCTAGTCTCTGGAGCTGGGCAGCTCTGGGGGATGGGCTCGAGTGTGAGGGGATGCGGGGTGGAAATGTTCTGTGTCTTGCGCTGGGTGGCGGTTACGCTGCATGCGTATGTATGGAAAACGTCACTGAGCTTAATGTTTGTGAACTTTATTCTGTGTAAGTAATTCCTCAGTAAAGTATATGTGTGTATGTGTATGTATATATATGTAGTAATTTGAAAATCATGTATTAAAACCTTCTAAAGAAATAAATTAACAAAAACACAAACAAACCTCCTGAAACATGACTTCAGCTCCCGCTTTGGGCCATGCTCTTCCCTGCACATCCCCGTGCCATCCAGGTGGGTTTGTCTCCACTTTAGAGGTGAGGAACCTGCAGCTCAGAGAGGGAAAGGGTCACGCTCGGCGTCACACAGCTGGTGAGGGGCAGAGCTGGGATTTGCTCTCTTTCCACCACACACAGGACTGTCTAAGCTGCCTCTGGGTCTGCCTGACCGAGTTCGTGTTCATATTCCGCTCAGGGATGCTGCTGGCCTTGTCCGCCTGGGGGATTGCCCACACCACACAGCCCCCCAGGCTTGGTTGTCCCTCCTCACCCCCCCAGAGGTTCTAACCCAGCTGTCTTGCTCCCCTCAGCACCCCTTCGTCAGCAGCGTCACCAGCAACAAGGCGCTGAGGGAGCTGGTGGCCGAGGCCAAGGCTGAAGTGATGGAGGAGATTGAAGACGGCCGGGATGAGGGGGAGGAGGAGGACTTGGTGGATGGTGCCTCGGTAAGACCTGGAAGGAGGGGGACTGCAGAAGGATGGGATCCGCGCAGGCCTTGGCTGGGGCGGGAGGGGGCCTGGGAGGCGCAGGAAGGATTCCTTTCTGTTTTTGCCCAGCTCAGAGGTCACTTGCTCCCACGCCATAGGTTATGTAAGACAGCACATGGGCCGGGCCGAGGCAGCAGGCTGTGTTGGCCAGAGCTTGTAAGTTTTCAGGGAATCCCAGGAATCTAGATTTTCACACACGATCTTCCAGTTTTTAAAGGTTGGTAGCTGACTCGTGCTGCTTCCCAGCCTTTTCCCTAGTGCGGCTCACCTATAATAACAAGGTCGCTATTAGCACGCTGTGGGGTCAATGCAGGTAGAGGCTGCACCTGATCAGAGGGAACAGGCTGAGGGGCTTCGGTCCCCCCAGGTCCCGTCTGGCTGCCCTGAGTGGCACGTTCGTAACCCACCTGCAACTTCAGCACTTGGCTGAATGTAAATTTAAATGAAAGCGAATTTAAGTGTTTACAAAACACTGGGGCCAATCAAAACATGTCTGTGGGCTGGCTTCTGCCCGGAGCAGCTGCTTCTGGATCCCTGGTTTAGCCATTTGAGAAGAGCTTCTTCCAGGAGGGGAGATTTGCCATCCAGATGGTGCTGTGGACCTCGTGAGGCAGGGGCTGGATTTGTCTGCTGCGGGTGGACGGCACAGCACTTCCTCAACTTTGATTCGTTCCTGGGCGGAGCCTGAGCTGGTGTGAACCCTCACCAGGCTGAGGAAGAGACGCCCCGAGGAGGATGGGGCGGAATTAGCACAGTAACCACAGCCCGTTCACTGAGCCCCTGCCGAGTGCTGCGGACTCCGCAACTCGGACAGAGGGGAACCTAGGCTCCACTTTACAGATGGGAAAACTGAGGCCCGAGCAGTCATGTGGCTGAGCTGATAGGGTGCAGGGCCAGGTGTGGGCCGGGATTGGGAGATCCACAGCAGAAGAGGGAAGGGAGGCAGTGTGTCCGGGGCCTGGCTCCTGGAGGAGGCAGGCAGCGAGGTTGGCAGGGAGGCGGAAAGTCAGCACATCCTGCCTGGATTCTCCCCTGGCAAGAGGCTGATCTTTGTCATGAGGACAGTGGGGGCCATGAGGGCTTCAGGCAGGGGCTGGGCATTGCTGTGTGTGTGAATGACAGGATCAGATGTGATTTTTTTTGTTTTTTGAGGAGGGGGAAGGTAATCAGATTTATTTATTTTATATTTTAGACGAGATACTGGGGATTGAACCCAGGACCTCTGCATGCTAAGCATGCACTCTGCCACTTGAGCTATGCCCTCCCCCCTCAGATGTGAATTTTTGAACCATTATCGCTCTGGCTGTTGAATAGAAAATGGATTAGCGTTCCCTCTGGAAGCGTCCATATCCAAGATTAAAAACCAGCAGCCATCAGGCAGGACTCAGGGGAGCGCTTATGGTGTGATTCTGTCAATATTAAGTTTAACAACAGGCGAACTAACCCGTAACACTTGGAGAGTGAAGTCCAGGCAGTGATTGTGTCAAGGGGAGGCCGGACACAGGTGGGGACTCTGGGCTGGGGGAGGGTGTCACTCCTGACCTGGAAGGCGGCTACATGGGTGCTCACTTTATTCACAGCTGGACTTTTATGTTTCATCCACAGAAATGGGTGTACTACTTCACAGTACTAACATTGTCAGTACTTTCCACCCCGAAAGGCTCTGAAAAACAAAATCAAAAACGTAAAATATTTACTGACCGACTGGTTGAATTTAGCCTCTGGATAAGTTTGGTTTGGCCTTTATGTGATTTTTAAACAATTTGAATTGGTTGCCATGTAAAAATGAGGAGATACCATGTAAAAATCCAGATTCCAGCCTGGCTTGAAAAATCAGAAGGTCTGGCCACAGGGGACCTGTTTTCCTATGTTGCCACAATGGGGTGGAGCAGAGTAGCCACTGCCCTCTTAAGACAGGGCATGAGCTGTCCAGGCCATGGCTGCCTCTACTCCTAGGAGGAAAAACAGGTATTAAATTAAGCTAAGCTGAGAGACAATTGGGAGATTCCTACTTCTCAAAACAAGTAGTAATTTTACTGTTGGTTAGGCAATAGGGAGTGGGGAGGACTGTGGCTTACCAGAGAGGGTTACCTATTATTATACCTCCCTGGCCCCGGACCACTTCTCCTTGTGGGTATCTGACTTTGCAGCCTCACTGCATCTCTGACTGTTGCCTTAGACATACGGTATCATGGCCTTGACTCTCTTTTTTTCCCTAGCCTCTGGGGAACCACAGTCGGGACTCCTCTGAGGTGAGTCAGCTGAGCCTTGAAGCTGACAAGCTTCTCATGGAATCATCTTTCACTGCGCTGCCACCCAGCCAGCCTCAGGACAGTGTGAATGGGCCCAGCCAGCCCTCAGAGGGCAGATCCCTCCAAACCACCAGACCCCCAGATGTGTCCCCTGGCAAGGAGAACGGGGTAGCAGTGCCTGCGCCCCTCCGTAAGTCCCGGCCAGTGTCAATGGATGCCAGAATTCAGGTATCTGAAGAGAAGAAAGCCACCGACCAGGGTGGGGACCTCAGTCCAGCAGCCAGCAGATCCCAGAAGGCAGGCCAGAGCCGTCCCAACAGCAGCGCCCTGGAGACCTTGGGCGGCGAGAAGCTGGCCAATGGCAGCCTGGAGCTCCCTGCCCAGCCAGCTCTGGGCCCTTCCAAGGCGGACTCGGACTGTGGCAGCCTCTCCAACTCCGAGAGCACGGACTACGGCACCTCCCTCTCAGCCGAACTGTCCCTGAACAGAGGGTCGGGCTCTCTGTCCATCAAGGTAACACCGCCTTTTACACCACAGGCTTGGAGTGGGAGAACTGCGGGATATTCTGCCGCCCAGTTTTGGCTATTGGCAGCATTCAGTGGCTGCCTTCCATTTTTAGGTGGCTCATGAGCTTGCTCTTTCTTTATAGTGCTCTTAGTTTGATTTGTAGTTTAATCTCCAAAATATCTGAGTTTGCTCTGGGATTTAGTCATGTCAGGAAGTTGGTCTGAGTTTTAAATTTCAGTTTCAGTTTCCATTTAAATTGAGTTTGGGGAAAGGTCCTCCTGAAAATGTGGGAGAGAGAATCCTAGAAGGGGAAGTTCTCTGATTTGGAGTCCCCTCCATTGTCCCAGTCACACACACTCGACCAGATCCAGTTCCTGGGCCCGGGTGGGCTGTGGGGCTTCAGGCGATTTTGCCCCAGAAGCCTGGTGAAGGCATTGACATGCTCAGAGATGCAAGAGCTGAAATGATGCCCTGGAAAAATGTATCTGAGTTGGAAGCTTCTGTTCCTTCTGCAGGTCAAAGACCAGTTTTCCTCTCTGCTCGTTAGTCTCCACGCAGTGTCATGTCTCCACAGCCATGCAGAGCCTCGTGTCCTACTAAGTCACCATGCATTAAAAAATGGTTCCCTTAGAAGGGGAAGGTATAGTTCAGGGGTAGAGTATGTGCTTACCGTGCACAAGGTCCTGGGTTCAATCCCTGGTACCTCCATTAAAAAATACATAAAGATACCTGATTACCCGCCCCACCCCCCAATTCTTTAAAAAAACCGTTTCCTTAGAGTTTATTTAGAAGACTCAACTTCATTGACCTTTAAAACATCGATGTGTAATATACAATAATACATCTAATTGTCTCTCTGGAAAGAATAAAAAGGAAAGCGCTCTGATTTGGGGGTCAGCCATGTGGTCCAGCTGCTGACTGATTCACTTTAAAGGCAGCGGGGCTGAAGGCTGCCTCCCGGCCCGTGGCCCTTCTGGAGAGGGTAGCGCTGTGAATGACGGGCCATTGCACGAGGCCTGCACTGCCAAGGGCTTTAGAAATAACAGCAAAGGAGGCTCCGTCTTCATCCCAGTGTCCAGAGGAGCAAACGAAGGCTCTGGTTAGGGAGCCGGTCAGACCCCAGACTCCACACACTCAGTCGCACCTGTCATTCTGCCTTTGCGGTGGGAGCGGTGGCCTCCTCGTCCTCAGGAAGGGCTGACCCCGTCCCCTGCCCGCTCCCATGAATCTTGAGGTGTTCGTGATCCCACCATTGGTCGCTTGTTTGGCCACACTGAGGGCCTCATCCCCCACCAAGGCTGAACTCAGGGAGGATTCTGTATCTTTTTGTTTCTTCCTGCTGTCACTTACTTAGTGAGAAACCACACAGTAGAGACTCAAAGATATTGGCCAAATGAAAGGGAGCAAAAAGAGAAGCAGCCAGCTGGCACCGTTAGCTTTGGGATCAGAAAGAAAGCTCAGTTCTGACAGGTCGTCAGGACGAGACGGGACGGCAGCAGCTTTAATGCATAAGAAGCGTCCGGGCCCATCATCTTCTTAGGACAGGGGTTCTGTCCATTTTCTTATTAAAAAGACACTAAGACTGGGGAAAAAAGAGTATTTCTAAAATAAAAGCTGGCCTTCCCAGAGCAGGGTCCCCCGCCTCTTCTCGAGGCTGTTGGGAACATTCCTTTGCTGGCTGCCTGGCAGTGAGTCAGGGAACACGGCTGTTCTGATAAGAGTTCATGGCTGTGTCAGCATCCTTGGCTGGACAGGAGCCTGGTACTTCAGGGCGGAGGCCCGAGACCAGGAGCGGTTCCAGCATGAGGGCTGTGCCCCAGGCCTCCTTTCCTCCCCGCCACTCTCCAGCCAGCCTGCCTTCCTCGTTGCTAGCCTGACTTGAATTGAGTCCTAGGGCACGTGCGCTGGGTGCTGTAGGGGATGAGAGTCAGGGTGACCGCTGTCCGCAGCGTCCAAGGCTCTGGGTGAGGGCCCGTGGAACCTCCCCTGAGACCTTACGGTCCAGGACTGTCTGCTGGCCTCTGGGTGGGAGCCGGAGGGCAGAGCAGACTTTGAGGGCAGGGGTCTCCTGCCCGGAGCCACGCTGGCCCTCCCTCCGCTCTCGGGCCGGCAGGCCCTCGGGGCAGCGTTGGGAGGCCGGGCCAGGCTGCACTAGGAAGGGCCGTGGAAGCCAGGTGAGGGGTCGGACGGGGAGATGCCATGATGACTCCCGTGCAAGCCCACAGGCCTCATCCAATCTGGACGGAGAACTTTCAAAGGGTATTTGAACACCTCCACGAGTCCTGACAGCACAATCACGTGTGAAAGGCATGATTATTCACAGGAAAAGATAGAGACTGTGAATAACCTCATGGTGGCCCCAGACGGGCATGGTCGCCTGTGGAGTTCAGGTCAGGTTAGGTCTGGCTGTCAAGTTTTCGGCTATGAACTTCCGTTTTCCAGGCTCTTTGGAGTTTGCCGTTGTGGATAAGAGACTGTGGTCTGCAGGAGTAACTGGCAGAAATAAATACCAAGTGTAGAACCCTTGCCATGAGCCAGGCGCTGTTTATCCCCCCAACCCCCACCCCTGCCCCGGTCTCTCCCTGAACCTCTGAAAACGCTCTGGGAGGCAAGTACTGTTGGTCTCCTCCTCTGACGGGTTGAGGAGGCTGAGGCTCGGACAGGACGAGGGACTTGCCCAGGGTCCCAGCCAGTGGACAGCAGAGGGTGTAGCAGGATCCTTGTTCTTCCCAGTGCCACGTCCTGTGCGCGGGAGGGTGCTGGCTGCCGCCTGGCAGGGGACGGGCAGCGTCTGAAGGCCAAGATCTGGGAGAGGAAAGGGCATAACTTCAGACACCCAGGCCCCTAGATGGAGGGGCTCGAGGCAAGAGGGGGATGATGGACAGCCATCTCCTACCCGGATGGGGCTGAGGTGGTGGGGCCAGGAGGGCTGTGGGCTGCACCCCCTGTGTCACCCATGGATCCTTAGCTAAAATGCTGAGCTTTGCCTAATGATATCCCCTGGCCAGGACTCAAGGCTGCACAATAAGACCCTCAAGAGGACACGCAAGTTTGTGGTGGACGGCGTGGAGGTGAGCATCACCACCTCCAAGATCATCAGCGAAGATGAGAAGAAGGACGAGGAGATGAGATTCCTCAGGCAAGGCTGGGAAGGGCTGCGACGGTGGGGATGTGGTGAGAGGGGTGAGCGTATGTCCTTCTGGTGCAAGAGCTGTCTGTCCCAGCACGAAGTGTGGGATCAAGGACACAAGAGGAAGCTGGTTTTGCCTGAGATCCTGCCTGCCCCAATCCACCTGCCCCTCCAGCCACATCTCCATCCCCCATCCCCCCACCCACCCACCTACCCACCTACCCACCTCTCCATCCACTCACCCCTCCATTTACTTACGCATCCATCCATCCACCCCTTTACCCACTCACCCACCTGTCCATCCATCCACACACCCATCCCTCCATTCACTAACCCCTCCACATACCCCCCCTTCTATCCACCCACTCACCCACCCACCTACCGAGCCCTCCATCCACCCATCCATCCACCCACCCATGTATCCACACCCCCTACCGGGTTGGAGGACATGGCAGTGACCCAGATAGTTGAGGCTGTTGCTTTGTAGAATTTACACCTAATGGGCCAACAGAGAGCACACAAGATACTTCCCAACTGTGGAACATGCCGTGAAAGGAGTCATGGGTGATACGCTCGTGGGCTCCTGGGGTGGGCGGAGGGAGGATACTGTCCGGTGGGAAGGCTCTGGAGCAGGGCCCAGGGTTGAGGGGAGCTGACCGTGAGCAGAGCTGGGGGAGCACAGAGGAAACTGCAAGGCCAAGGCCTGAGGAGTGGCTGCTTGGCTTGTTTAAGGGCCTGAGAGGACAGAGGGAGAGGACAGGGGTGTGGTCCCCGGGATGCCCAGGGCCCTGGTCAGGTGAACCTTTTGAACCACGTGACCGGGCAGTCCCTCTCGCAGAGCGAGGCCGCTAGGTCTGAGTTCTTTCTGGTTTTCCCTAAAATTGTGCTGCCGGTTCTCTCCTTCATACCCCGTCTCTGCCTGCCTTCCTTTGTGAGAATCTGGCGGGTCACGGATGTAATGTCAGGACCTGGCTGCTGACCTTTCTGGGTTCGTTTTTTGATCAGTTGTGTTCTAAGCCTCAGTTTCTCTTGCGTCGGGATTCCCATTTCTCTGTTAACACTTGAAAACCACCTCCTGCCTCCTCTTCCCAGAATGCGGAGGCCCACAGGGAAGCCTCCTTACGAGGCTGTAGCAAGTGTCTCTGGCTTTTCCCAGAAGTTGGCCAGCCTTTGCCTCTTCCTTCTCATTATCATTTGAGAAGTTACCACTTGGGTGTCACCTCATTTAACCTCGAAGACCCTGAGAGGTAGAGATTATCTCCCCATTTGACAGATGCAGGAACAGAACCTGCAAAGATGGAGCGACTGCCTGAGGGCACCTGGCTGGAAAGGCAGCAGAGCTGAGGTTCAAACAAGGCCGGCCTCTCCTTGCGCAGCTGTTGGCTCCTGCAGCTCCACCTGCTCAGGGCTGTGAGGAAGGCCTGGCGGCGGGGGGTCTCCATGGTGCAGCCTGCAGACGCTGGTCTAGAATAGGACACAGGCTGCCAGGGAGCCCTGATGCATGGCCAGCAGGCCCAGGTGCTTTTAATTCCTTTTTCTTTTCTTTTCTGATTACATAAATGATACATACCAATTTTTAATGGACTTGCCCAGAAGAGAAAACACAACGACTTTGAAGTTTGTCCCACCGGTATTTTTTTTCTGTGAGTACACACATACACACATCGGCAATATAGATGTTACAAAATTAAGGTACGCTGTGTGGTTTGGGTCAAATTTTTATTGTATTTACATTTTGAACAGGTAATATAATATATTGGTTCAAAAGGAAAAAGCGTAAACAGAGAAAAATCTCCTTGCCTCGCTTTTCTGCCAGCCATCTGGTTCCCCTCCTTGTGTTAATATTTTATGGTGTAATCCTTCCAGAAACACTCAGTGTTTAAACAGGAGAATAAACACACACATGCACACGTGTACACACATATGTGGGCTTTTTTGTTTTTCACCCAGATGGTAGGTAGCATGGTAGACCCACGCTTCAACATCTTGCTTTTCACTTAGAGATCCGTCCCTTATCTGTTCATAAAGAACTGCTGCCTTTTTTCAGATTTTTTTCCATGTAATTCAGTATCTTCTAGAACTTGATTTTTTTTTAATGGTTGTATCACATTACATCAGGTGGATATATTTTAATTTTTTAATTAGACCTATATTGATGGACACTTGTTTCCAATTTTGTACTATTATAAATAGCATTGTTATGAATATCTTTATTCAGTTTTTGTGCATCTATGAATATTTCTTTAGATTCAGTATAAAGAGTAATAATCTTTGACTCAGAAGTGGAACTACTATGTCAAAAGGCATAAACTGAGTGACACATTGTCCTCCAGAAGTCTGTCAATTTGTACATATCAGACATACATGAAAGAATCAGTTTCCCCTATATTCTTGCCTATTTCATGAAAATGTTATTTCTTAATGTTTTCTTTTTAATTTGCATTTCATATCCATATAGGTAACTTAAAAATTTTTTTTTGTCTTTTGTTTCATGTCTGTTCATGTTCTATACCACTTTTAAAAATTACAGTATTCCTGTTTTTCTTATTGATTTGTAAGCACTTTTTATATATTAAGATTATTAATGTTTTGTCTGTCAATAAATGTCAAATGTAGTCTGAGTTCTAAGTTCTAGTCATGCCTCTACCCCAGGCTTATGTGATGCCGCATCATGCCCCAGCCTTTGTTGTCCCCTTGCTATGAGTTAGGGGATCACTGAGGCCACTTTGTGACTGAAGTGTTCACATCCATTCACCTTTCAGGCGCCAGGAACTCCGAGAGCTTCGGCTGCTCCAGAAGGAAGAGCATCGGAACCAGACCCAGCTGAGCAGCAAGCATGAGCTGCAGCTGGAACAGATGCACAAACGTTTTGAACAAGAAATCAATGTGAGTGTGAGAAAAGATGGGTTCCTGTAGAGCTTCTAGCTTCCATGTTTGCTTTAAGCGAAAGCTGCAGGGTGGGGATGATTGGGCATGGAGAATAATTCACAACAATTGCCCAATTCCTCTGGTTTCCTGATCTCACGAGGTGTCGACTTATAAACAGAATTGCTTGAAGGTCACGATGCTTCTCTGAGTCACACAAGAGGATCTCTAGAGGGGGTGCAACTTTTATTGAGCACCGTGCAGCAACCTTGTGGGATAGATGGTCTGGTCTTCCTTTTGCACATGAGGAAACAGACTCAGAGAGATTAAGTGAGTTGTCTGAGGTCACACAGCAAAGACAGGGTAGGAGGTGAGATTCAAACCCAGGTCTGAGCACAGGCCCTGGGCTTTCTCCATCTGTCTCCTGGATATAAGGTGATTTTCCTGAATTTCTCTTTCTGCTCCTTCCAGGCCAAGAAGAAGTTCTTTGACACAGAGCTGGAGAACCTGGAGCGTCAACAAAAGCAGCAAGTGGAGAAGATGGAGCAAGACCATGCCGTGCGCCGCCGGGAGGAGGCCAAGCGGATCCGCCTGGAGCAGGAGCGGGACTACGCCAAGTTCCAAGAGCAGCTCAAACTGATGAAGAAGGAGGTGAATATGTGCTGAGGGGAGGCAGAGGGGTCTAGGAGTATTAGAACTCTATCAGTTGCAATGATCAAAACCCCAGCTCAACCTTGCCTCAGCAACAGAGGGCATTTGGGAGAGCTCGAACACCGGATGAGCTCACGTCCAGGTATGTCTGGATCTACATCCTCCAGCTGTGCCATTAGGAGCCCGTTCTCCATCGTTTGAGCTCTCCTTTCCTCCCAGGCTGGCTCTCACCATGTGCCCTCTGGCAGCTCCCTGTACGTCCTTCCAGCTTAGAAGCCCTAGGTGACAAATAGCAGGGGAGAAGGAAGGGATGGTGGCTCAGGGGAACTGGAGATGCCGTCACCAGAGGGGGGAGTGGGTGCTGGGTGGGCGCACACACATCCTCCATTCCCTACCCTCTCTTCTCCCTAAATAGCAGCCCACTAATTGGACCCATGTGCCTCTTCTCCCTTTGACCCCCACCCAGCTGGCAGGGGAACTGGGAGGTGGCAAGGAGGCGGACAGTCCTGAGACAAGGAAAGGGAGGCGTATTTCTGAACCTGCCCTGGGGGAGGGCATCTGGATTCCAGGGAGCAGCCCTCACCTTCCTCTGTGGGGCCAGAGCCTGGGAGGCGGGGACATACTTCTTTCCTAGACCCTCAGGAGGAAGGAGGGGAGAGCCGTGGGATGGGTGGGCCAGTCTAGATGTTCCCAGTCCCCAGATGGGTGCAGTGGGTGAACAGCCTCTCGGGGGGGCCACGGTGCTGGGGGCCTCAGACCCCAGCTCCCAGGCTTTACTCTGCGATGCGCATGACATTTGGTGTGTCCAAGGGGCCTCAGGTGGCTGCCTGCGGGAGCCAGGGCTACGGGCGGGCTGATCAGGGCCAGGGCTGCGGTGAGACAACGTCCCTCGGACACAAAATTTAAGGAGGTGCCCCAAACTCCATGATCAAGATAAATAATATTCTAATGCAATGTTTTAAAATACAAACTAGTGTAAAATATTCATGATGAACAGAATGTCAGCTATTTAGAGGCAGGACAACAGGGCCAGGGTTGGTGTGAGGCCATGAGGCCGAGTCCTGCAAATATAGGGCTTAGTCTTGTCTGTATTTAACGTTTTGATGGTTTTGTTAATGATTATTTTGGCATGAAATTTTTTTTTATTTGTTTGTTTCTTTGGGGGGGGTTAGTTAGGTTTATTCATTTGTTTTTAGAGGAGGCCCTGGGGATTGAACCCAGGACCTTCTTAATTAAGCATGTGCTCTACCACTTGAGCGATACCCTTCCCCCTGGCATGAATTTTGAGTTTTTAAAATTGTATGTATCTTGATTAGTTTTCTGGTGTTCTCTTTTGTGCCTGAGGCGAGTGCCTCGACTTACCCTGGTTTTGAACCTCCTGCTGAGAAATGGGCCAGCGGCTGAAGTACGTGGGGTGGGGCAGGGAGCAGAGAGAACAGAGAGACATCCCCAGCCCCAGGCTGGGAGCACGGGCTTGGGAGGCAGGCCTGGCTCCGTCTTGGCTCCGCGGTCCAGAGCAAACTGCTGGCCTTTGCACAAGCTGCAGGCGGACCTTGTTTTATTGCACTTTGCCTTATTGCTCTTCCCAGATACTGGTGGTTTTTTTTTTTTTTTAAACAAATTGAAGGTTTGCAGCAACCCTGCGTCCAGCAAGTCTTTCTGTGCCATTTTTTCCAACAGCATTGCCTCACTTCTTGTCTCTACATCACATTCTGGTAACGCTTGCATTATTTCAGACTTTATTATTACATGTGTTATGGTGATCTGTGATCCGTGATCTTTGATGTTACTTTTACAAAAAGATTACAACTCGCTGAAGTCTCAGATGATGATCAGCATTTTTTAGCAATAAAACATCTTAAGATTAAGTGATACACAATTTTCTTTTAGACATAATACTGTTGCAAACGTAATAGATTACAGTATAGCGCGAACGTAACTTTTTCTATGCACTGGTAAACCAAGAATGTCATATGACTGGGTTTATTTCAATACCTGCCTTATTGTGGTGGTCTAGAACCGAGTCTCCAGTATTTTCAAGGTCTGCCTGTACTTGCCTGAGTCCTGCTGCCTTCTGTCAAGTGAGAGATATTTGGTTACTGTTGTATTGCGTATCTACGTGTGTGGCACTGTTCGAGATGCCAGGGATACTGTAATGAACAAAATAGATAGGGTCCCTACACTCAAGGAGTCGTTAATTGCCAGGGAAGTCAGAGGCAAAAGTACAACATCAAATAGGTGAAACACTTGTCCATTCCATACATGCTGTGAGAGCAGATAGGCTGGTGAACTAGAGAAGATATGGAGAGATCTGCTTTAGAGGGGGCTAGGAAGGCCTCTCAGCATGTGACATTTAGGCTGAGACCAGAAGGATGCTTCCAAGAGGGTGAAACAGCATATGCAAAGGCCCTGAGGTGTAGGCAAGAGCTTGGAGTGTGCAAAGAGCTAAAAAATGATCAGGTTGTTAGGAGTTTAGGAAGCTAGGGGGAGATTAGTGCGAGGTGACATCAGGCAGGTAGAGCGGGGCCAAATCACGGAAGGAGGTGAGTCATAGCCAAGAGTTTGCTATTTCATTCATTGCCGTTAACAATACATTCCTCACGCAGATATTTTGAGCATTAAATGAGAAGTACCCAGTGTCGGCCCCAGAATAAATAGCCAGTAGATGCCAGTTTCCTCTTGGCTCCTCACCCCATCACGTACGCGCACCCTTTGTATGTGTGGGTGGGGGAAGGAGCTGTAGGGATTGTAAGAGTGGAGAAAAGAGGAGGCTACAGAGGAGGTGCCTGGGATAGGGGAGGCGTGAGAGGACACCACAGAGTTCCTTGCCCTTTGTATGCGCTGATCTTTAACAGGGTTGAGCCGCTGAACGTGTTGGCAGGGTTCCAGGAGCTTTTTCAAGCCTGCCAGCGAGCTCTGAGGCGGTGCGTGGGATCCGGTACTTGGGCTTCCGCTCAGATTCAGTGTTTAACATTTTCTTCTTCCCTGGGTGTTTTTCTTCAGAAAGTTTTCATGGAAAGAAAAGACTTGACCTCTTTGTGCTTTTGGCTTCTGCTGTTTGGTAAGACCGTGACCCTGTCACTGTCCTCCCATGAGGCATTCTTGCTGCGCAGACTCCGCCCTGCTGATTGAACCCAGAGCTACTGTCTTTAATCTGCTTCACGGTGGAGCCGGGCAAAGGGTTGGCTTGTGCTTGCTGCTGGTTCCCAGAGCTGATTGCTGGGGTTTTGTTACTTGATTAGTCACTGTATGTTTTTAGAGCTCCTGTACTAGGAGGTGATGAGCAAATCACACACAGCCCCTGTCCTCAGATTTGCCATTGTCGTTAGAGGCTGCCAGTATGGAAACGTCCACGGTTATAAGAAGTTTGAGAACATACTGTGTATTTATTAGAGGGAGTAAAGGATAAAGATGGTCTCTTCAAGTTGTAAAGAGAGAAGCAAGTTCTTCTCTAGGATGGCATTATGCTGAAGTGGTTGTATGGAGCCTGGAGTCGGAGACTCGAGTTTGAATCCTGACTCTGAACTCAGGCAAGCAGCTTAAACTCACCAAGCCTGTCTCCTTCTCTGTGAAAGCAGGTAATGACAGGGTCACTCATGGAAAAGGTTGTTCTAGATGTGGACCAGATGACAGTGCAGGCAGAGCACCAGGCAGCTAGTAAGCCTCGGCTGCATGGTGGCCTTTTCGCTTATTCTTACCACCACATTGTCAATTTCCAAAGTCAGGTCTAGGGATTCCTGCTGGTGGGGGCCAGCGGAAGGCTTTGCTTTGTGGGACCCCAGATGTCCCATAATTCATGTCCTCCACTGCTTACTCCACAGTCCTGAGACCTTCTCGGATGGCAAATGTCACCCCTGTGAGGGCTGCAGGCTGCTCAGCTGGGAATGGGAAGTTTGGGTAGAGACTCTCTGCCCACTGCCGTTGGACTGGTGGTTAGGATGCACCAGCAGGGGTGAAGGACCAAGGTGGGAATGGGTAAGGCCCCCAGGTAAGCTGGCTCTGAACTACCCACGAATGCATGAGGCGGCCCAGTGCTGCATCTGAGAAATCTACACGTGGGTGCTGGAGCAGGAGACCATACACAGGTCCACGTGGACTTCTTAAAAAACCAGTTCAGAGCAAGGAAGGGTTCATGCTGTCCACTTCCCTACGATCCACTGAACTCAGGCATGGAAAACGTACAAAAATAATAGAGGGTAAAACTTGAGATGCCTCACGAGGCCTCTTTCATGGTTACAGCAGTTGGTATGAAACATTTATCATGTTAATGAGCTTCCTGCACTTAGGAGGTATGCATATAGGAAAAATCATTACTAGTAAACTAGTCGAATGGGGGCATCTTTATTTTTCATTATCGTTTCAAGTGACTAAATCCAATGCTGTGTGTCTAAATATGCAAGTGTAATAAATGTATCCTGCGGGAATGGAATTGATGGTCTGTTTCTCGGTTCCTATACACACAGCACATTTAGCATCCATGAAAAACTCAGTTAATTGTAACTTACTTCTTAGATCACCTACATTTGAAAACAAACTCAGTCAGTCTTGAAGGAAATCTTTCCAGAACTGTTTTCCTGCCTTCCTGGGCGAAATTCATTAAACAAAATTTAGCTGTGTTTTATATAGTTTGGAGCTCTGTAACGGAATTATATTCCTGGGAGGATCCTGGAAATTTTAGTTAAAAAACAAGTAGTTTTTTTTTCCAGTGAGAAAATGGGAAGCTAACAAGTCTAGGGACTGTTCCAAAGATGTGCCGCTGGGCCAGAGAGCAGGATCCCTGACATCCAGTAGAGAGCCTTTCTTTATAGATCTCAGGCAGTGTGGTACTGGTCCCACTCTGGTACCCTGTCCTCAGGGATTACTAACAAGTAGGTCCAGGTGCCCCTTTGCCAAGTAGCCCCATGTGACTCTGCTCTTAATGTTCTTTTGCCTCCTCCCTCCATTGTCAATGGTGTTAACACCTCTTACTGTTTTTAGCACCTTTAGCAGAAATCTCCAGACCCTTTCCTAAACTGTGGCTTCTCATCTTCTCTCCTGGAAAACCACATCATCAAGCTTGAAAAGCACAGTTCTAAGCTAATGGGTCCTTTCAGTTGCGTGACACCTTGAATGGGGCGGTCAGTGGCATTTGGACAAACACCAGACAGATGCTAAATTATGGTTATGCACCGTATATCCAAGGCAGCCCTCTGATGGGGAAGCTGAAGTGGCACAAATGCGATTTTTGAGATTATTTACAGTGACTTCTCAACCAAGGACTCTTTTGCTCCCCAGGTGACATCTGGCAATGTTAGATGTTTTACAGTTTTAGGTTTCACATCAGATGTGTAACATATGGGTGAGTTTCACTGTTATTAATTGTTTTTGCCTATGGATGTCCAATTTTCTAGCACGAAAAGACTATCCTTTCTCCACTCATATTTGCCTTTGCATCTTTGTGCAAAATCAGTTGACCATGTATATATGTGTGTGTGAATAACTGGACTCTCTTTGCTGTTCCACTGATGTAACTGTCTTTCACCAATTCTGCAGTGTCTTGATAAATGTATTTTTGTAGTGAGTCTGAAATTGGGTAGCGTGAGTCCTACAGCTTTGTTCCTTTTTTTCAAAAGCTTTGTTCCTTTTTTTCAAAATTGTTTTGGCTATTTTAGTTCCTTTGCTTATCCATATATAACTTAGAATCAGCTTTTTGACTCCTGTAAAAATGTCTGCTGGGATTTTTTTTATTGAGACGGGGTTGAATCCATGGATCAGTTTAGAGAGAATGGAATTTGAACAATATTGAGCCTTCCTTTCCATGAACACAATGTATATCTCCGTTTATTTTTGACATCTTTCCTTAGTGTTTATAGTTTTCAGCATACAGATTCAGCATGTATTTGGTTAAATTTACACTTACGTATTTTGGTGCTGTTGTACAAAGTACAATTTTTTTAATGTCAATTTCTAACGTCAGTGCTAGAGCATAGAGAAACACTGGTATATCAATCTTCTATACTGACTTCACTAAACTCACCTGTCAGTTCTAATACTTGAAAAAAATACAGATTTCTTGGAATTTTCTACATAGAGAATCTGTCTGTAAACAGTTCTGTTTCTTCCTCTTTAATCTGTGTTTGCTGCTTTCTCTTGGTTTATCTTGCTGGCAAGGACCTCTAGTGGGCTGTTGAGTAGGAACAGCAGTGTGGGCATCCTTGCCTTGTTCCCGGTCTTAAGGGGAAAATATTTAGTATTTCATAGTTCAGATAGCATTGGGGTTTTTTGTGGGTGCCCCCTTTCAGGTTCAGGTCCCTTCTATTCCTAGGTTGCGAATAGATCTCTTCATGAATGGATGTGGAGTTCTGTGAAATGGTTTTCTTCTATCAATGGATGTGGTCAGAGAGGTCTTCTTCAGCCTGTTGATATTAGGAGTTATACTGGTTGACTTTCAAATACTGAACAAGCTTTACATTCCTGGGATAAAGCCCACTTGGTCATTATATGTTTTCCTTTTTATGTAGGACTGGAATGAATTTGCTAATATTTTGGTGATGACTTTTGAGTCTGTATTAATGAAGAGGCTATTGGTCTGTGGTTTCCTTATAACGTTGCTCTGGTTTTATCTGTTTCTTCTTGAATGAGCTTCGGTAGTTCCTTTTTTTTTTTACATTTTTTAAGCTTTATGTGTGTATTTATTTTACAATATCATCTTGTTTAAATTGAAGATAGTTGATGTATAATATTATATGTTACGGGTATACAATACAGTGATTCACAATGTTTAAAGGTTATACTCCATTAATAGTTATTATAAAATATTGGTTCCATTCCCCATCCTTGTAGCTTATTTTACACCTGATAGTTCGTACCTCTTAATCCTCCCCCTCCATCTTGCCCCTCCCCCTTTCCTCTTGCCCCTCCCCCTTTCCTCTTGCCCCTCCCCCTTCCCTCTCCTCACTCGTAACCACTAGTTCCTTCTCTACATCTGTGAGTCTGTTCTTTTCTGTTATATTCACGAGTTCGTTGTATTTTTTTAGATTCACAAGTGATATCTTACAGTATCTGTCTTTCTCTGTCTGACTTATTTCATTGAGCATAATGCCCTCCGAGACCCTCCATGCTGTACCCCAGAAACTAATACAACATTTTAAATCAGCTGTACTCAGTTAAAAAGCAAGCAAACAACCCATTTAAAATATGGACAGAAGAACTGAACAGACATTTTTCCTAAAGAGGGAATGCAGACGGCCAGCAGGAACGTGAGAAGTTGCTCAACATCACTAACATCAGGGAAATGCAAATCAGAATCACAGTGAGACATCACCTCACACCTGTCAGGATGGCCGTTATCAAAAAGAATGCAAATAACAAATGTTGGCAAGGATGTGGAGACAAGGGAACCCTGTACACTGTTGGAGGGAACGCAAATTGGTGCCGCCACTGTGGAAAACAAGGAATTTGTCTGTTTCAGCTGAGTGGCTGAATTTATTGACATAAAGCTGTTCATAGTATCCCTGAGTATCCTTTTAATGAATGTAGGATCTGTAGTGATTGCTTTCACCCTTCATACTGGTAACTTGTCCTGTAGTATCCTCTTCTTCCCCCTTCTCCTCTCCCTCTTTCTTCTGTCAATCTGACTAAAGGTTTATTAATTTTATTGACTGCTGCCTGGTTCTCTGGCCAGGAATGTGAAGTTTCTTACAGTTTTAGTTACCTTATCACTGGATCACTGTCTAGGACTGGGGTAAAGCCAGGAGAGCAAAAGGGGAAAGAAAAAAAAGAGGAAACTCACTCCCAGTACCAGCCCCCACTTCTAGAAGTTCTGACTCCCTTTCGTGGTCTTTGAATTTATTTACTTCTCAGAGTCCTCAGATCATTGCTTTTTGTATTTTATTCAGAGTTTTTCATTGCAGTCATCAGGAAAGCGCGTCTGTCCTGGCTCACCGCGCCGTGCCAGAAGTAGAATTCTCCTGGAAGGCGCTCTTTTGATCATGGGCAGTATTTTCCCCTCACTGGCTGCTCCTAAGAGCCCTGTTAGTGAGCTCATGTTTTGGAGTGTCAGGTTCCTATGAAGGTACCTAAAGGTATGGGGTATTCAGAGAAAATGGTCTCAGGGACTATAGCTTCCTTGCAGGGAAATGTCATGGATCTCCTCTTCTTCTGTTATAAAAGACAGAAACCTGGTCCCAGCTGGCTTGAGAACACTGCAGGCCTCTGACCAGGAGGGCAGAAGTGTCGCCAGGAATCCTTCCTCATCTCTTAACATTGCTTCCCTGTGTTGACTGTCTCAGGCAGACCCCTCCAGGGTGGCCCCCCATGGCCTACATCCTCCAGCTCAGCAACCCCAAGGGACAGGGACCGGCTGTCCCCATAGTTCCGGTAAACGTCCTGAGGCTGTCCCTAGCACAGTGAGGTCACATGCTCATCTCTGAACCAGCCTCTGTTGCCAAGGCATGGAATGTGCTGACTGACAGCCTGGGTCACCTGCCCAGGCTAGAGTCCAATGGGGCTGGGAGCATCAGCCACACCTAAATGCCAGGGGTTGAACTGGGGCTGCCTACGTGCATTGTCAACTGGGATGATGTCACCTGGAACGAGTTAAAAACATCTTAGATCTTATAATGGTTTAAAAGATTGACAGTATATCTGTGGTATTAATATTTCAAGGCGGTGTGTAATTAGGGGAAAAAAATGTCTAAAAGGGATTCTGAGGAGACAATTTTAAAAGAGGTTGAGAAACACTGCCCTAAAGGAAACTGAGGGGCTGTCATCAAAAGGAAGAGGATGGATACCACACTGCAAACACAGCACCTGTGCTTCAGGGGAGTCTAGAAACCGGAGCCAGCGGCAGACAGGTGGTATCTGTCAGGGCAGTGGAGGGCAGAGCTGGGGCTGGTGCCTAGAAAGCTGAGCCTCATCTTCAGTCTCCCTGGCCCAGGAGTCCTGGGACTGAAGGCTTATTTCTTGGGAAGCATGAGGAGGTACCCCGCCCCAACTATTCTCTGCTGTCCCTGGTGCAGGTGAAGAACGAGGTGGAGAAGCTCCCCAGGCAGCAGCGGAAAGAGAGCATGAAGCAGAAGATGGAGGAGCACACACAGAAGAAGCACCTTCTCGTGAGTCCCTGTCCCTCAGCTGGGGAGTAGAGGGGCTGGGGAGTCCCAGCTTTGAGACCCTGGATGGTGACCCGAGCCCCTCTCTGTGGCCACTCCCTACCCCTCGGATCCTCACCTCTTATTCTGAATACCTAAATCCAGACCATCCCAGTTAGCACCCCTGTTGTCATCTCCCCGACGCAGTCTTCCTCGATGGCCCTTGCTCCCAGCTGGAAGTAAGCTCTCCCACCTCTGGACACCGCAGACCTGTACATCCACCTCTCCCAAAGCCTTCAGCGCCTCCTGCCTTGCTCTGTGGTCTTTTGTACATCACATCTCTTTGACCAACCCAGAACATCCATCTGCCTACGTGGCATCTTCTGGAATCTCAAAGACATCCAACCCAGATCTCCCAGACCTGGTCCAGATCTCGTGTTCTGAGGGGTTAACCATGCTCCACTGTGTTGCCAGGCCAGAAGCCTTGTCATTCCTGACATCTCATTTCCCTCCAGTCCTTCATCACCTCTTGAAGCTTGGTTTTTGTTTTTATCTCCAAACTATCTCTGGATCCATCACCTTGTCAACATCTCTGAGACCCTCCCAATCATTGCCTTTTGCCTGGACTGCTACCGCAGCATCCCAGCGAGGCTCCTTGCTTCCTCTTTGGCTCCCTTGCAGTTCTCTGTCTCACACTAGCAGGTATGATTGGTAGGAATTCTAAGTCTGACCATGTCACCCTCCCCCAACAACCCCGTGCCTTTAAAACCTTCAGTAGCTCCCACTTTGTCCGTAAGGCCAGACCAGCCTCCTCATGGGTTTACAAGGTCCTGTAGGTCTGGTTCCTGCCAGCCTCTCCCGCCTAGACTCAGTCCCCCCTTCCCCAACCTCACCATCCTTCTTTGCACTTCTTGTCGGGCCACACTCTCATTTTGTCCCACTTCCTCTGCCCCCAAATGCAGAGAAAGCTGGAGTCTGCACTTATAAATGCTTTGTGTGTTGCCTGTTTTAGCATTCATGGCTTACTAGGGTAGGTGCTGTTCGTTTTCCCCTTCACAGAGGCTCCCCTTCACATTAATAGTGGGGTCCAGGACCTCCAGCTGAGTCTAACTGCAGGACATTATCATACTTCCCAGGGCTGGGGAGGGTCAGGGAGACAGACCCTCATCCCCACAGAGGGAGGGCAGACTAGCCCTTTAAGAGTCCAATCTGGCAACTGTGTCAAAAAGCCTCAAAAATGTGCACATCCTTTGGCCTGGATTTCCTACTTCCAGGACTAATCTTGAAGATTAAGCATCACAGAGGTTCATGGACGTTTAGCTACCAGAATGTGAGAAGCAGCAATATCTAAAAGAAAATCTGTAAACAATCTTATATATTGGGTAAATAATTTAGGGTACAGTTATACCATGAAATATTTGCAGCCATTAAAATTTATTTTTGATAGAAGATTACATTATGACATAGAAAGGTCTTTTTAATAATTTTTTAAAACAGTGGTAAAATTGACATAACATGTGGCATCTTCCCCGTTTTGACGTGTACCGTTCAGTGGTACTAAGTACCTTCATATCTTCGTGTACTCCATCACCACCATCCAGCCCCAGGACTATTCATCTGGCAAACACGGAAACTGTACCTGTTAAACATAACTCCCTAGGATTCCCTCCCCCCCCACCAGTCCCAGGCAACCGCCATTCCACTTTGTCTACAGGTTTGCCCTCATGTAAGTGGAATCAGACAGTATTTGCCCTTCTGTGTCTGGTTTATTTCACTTACCATGTCCTCAAGATTCATCCATGCTGTAGCATCTAGCGGAATTTCCTTCCTTTCAAAGGCCGAATAATACTTCATTGTATGTATATGCCGTGTTTTGTTTATCCGTTCATCTGTCTGTGGACACTTGTTTCCAATCCCTTGGCTGTTGTGAATAATGCTGCCATGAATGTGGGTGTACAGATATCTCTTCAAGCCTTTTAAGATAATTTTTGTGAAACAACAACAGAGGTAGATACATTTACATGGGTACACCAAAACCAGTTGCTAGCCTCAGGCGGTAAGGTTAGTAGGAATTTTTAATTTCTTACATGTTTCCTAAAATTTCTTAAGTTTTATTGTTTTTACTTTTTATTATGGAAAATTAAAAACATAAGCAGAAGTAGGTATAACAGTATAATGAACCTCCATGTACCCCTCACTTGACCTCCGTAATTCTCAGCTCCGGGCCACTCACTCCCCCACACCACTGTGTTATTTTGGAGTCCAGACATCCTGTCTTTTTACCTGTAAATATCTCAGTGATGTAGTAGCCACCATACCATAAACACACCTAAAAGTTTAAATATGTAACAACAGGACCGGGACTTCCTAGCCAAGCAGAAGGAGGACCTGGAGCTGGCGATGAAGAGGATCACCGCGGACAACAGGCGGGAGATCTGCGACAAGGAGCGCGAGTGCCTCTCTAAGAAGCAGGAGCTCCTTCGAGGTGGGTGCCCCGCAGCGGGGGGTGCGGTGGGTGGGGTGCGGCTGGCGCCACGTTGGCCCGTGTTGTCGCCATGAATGGACATCCCAGCCCCGGGCAAGAAACAACTGTTAGGTCTTCTCCACCGGAGAAGCAGACCTCAGCCCGCATGGTGAAACATGAGGGAGACCCCCTGAGGTCAGGACTGAGGCAAAGATACCAGTTCTCACCAACACTATGTGACGTTATTGCAGATGTCAAGGGGAGAAAAAGAAAAGGAGGCGATACAGAGTGGGTGGAAATAGTAAATAAGTGAGCTGGGTTAACAGGGTCGTGGAGGCGGGGGCGGTATGGAGAGCCCCTTGGTAACAGCCGTCTCCTATTGAGACTCCTCTGCCAGGCCCTGTGCCTTAGTCTCCTAGCTTAACCTCATTGAACCCTCTCCTTAACCCAAGGCAGGCCCCACTACTGGCCCCGTTTTTATAGATGAGGAAAGGGAGGCCTGGAGAGTGCGACTCTTCGGCCAGGTTGCAGAGTTCATGAGCGGTAGAGTGGACCCTGAATGCAGACCTTACCTTGAAGCCAAGCCCGTGACTACCCTGGTGCGGTGGCGTTTTGGGGCAGGTTTGTCTGCTGGCGAGTCTCCCAGCGTGAGATCTTCCAGAGACAAGTGTGGGCCACCACCCCTGGGGAGGAAGGGGATGGGGGAGGCTTATGCATCTGGATGATGTCACTCAGCAGCGGGGAGCTCAGCAGGGGAGGCTGAGGTGGAGAGCTCCAGCGCAGGGCTTGGGGTCTGTTTAGAGCCCCCAAGCTATCTTATCTACGGCTAGCAGATGTTGGGAGCAGTTTTATAGAGGTATGCAAAGCAAGCAGGCTCCAAATGGCTAGAAGTCTGTTGTCTGAACTACATTTAAAATAACTGGATGAGTGAAAATCTGAGTTTGGAGCCTGTGGGCTTTAGAGCTAATGGGCCCTGTCTGCGGTGAAGACGTAAACACAGGACCGACATACAGGGCTGCCTCTGGCTCACTTACAAGACAGGGGCCGTGCCAGGACTCTGATGGCCAGTGCAGCCGGACGGCATCGACCCCTGTGTTGGTGTGGACCAAGCAAAATGGGGTCCTTGTATCCTGACATTCGAATAGAGCCACGGATGTTTCAGGAAAGCCCTTGATTCCTTTTGTCATGAGATGGTCTCTAAGAACCATCCTACTTGTGGGACGGTGGTTCTGATTTTGGTTTGGAAGCCAAATCACTGTTGCAGTAGTCTGCAGGTAGATGCCAGCTTTCATGGGAACAGAAGCGCTGTGAAACAAACTGAACGTTCGCCGTGGGCTGAGTATGACCAGCTGTGCCTTACAGGGCGTGGGGTTCTCCATCTGACGCCAGTTCTCTGCCCTGAGCACAGGGTCAGTTAATAGACTTCCAGGAATAAAATGCCAGATACTGTTTCAGTCACGTATAGATGGGAGGCAGAGAGTCTCACCTATGGAAATAGTGACAAGAGGCTATCCTGTCTTCCTCATGGGGTTACCATGTGAGCCCTTCCCATTTGCCCATTAGGTAAGCAGGCGTGCTGTGTAGACTGAACATAAAAGTGTCTTCCAAGGACGTGTCTCCCTCTGTGGTATGGTTGTGCCCATTTGGCAGAGGTGGAAGATGAGGCCTGGAGACTTTAATTTTTTTTTTTTTTTTTTGCCCATCCCAAATCCCAGTGACGCAGCTGGGTTCTAGCCTCGGTCTCCGGTTTCTCTAGCTCCTGACTCCAAACACTTCCCGCTGTACTGTGGTGCTGGAAGCTGTCATCCCTTAGGTTTTAAGGACGTTTCTGGGAGTTGGCTGAGCCAACAGTCTTATGAGGTGGCACAGTTATCAGCTACAGTGTGAGGAGATCTGGCTCAGGGCGGAGGTGGGAGGGCCTGGTGGGCGTCCGGCCATCAACACCTCACCAGGTAGCCTGTCCTCCGCAGACCGGGAGGCGGCGCTGTGGGAGATGGAGGAGCATCAGCTGCAGGAGAGGCATCAGCTGGTGAAGCAGCAGCTAAAAGACCAGTACTTCCTCCAGCGGCACGAGCTGGTGCGCAAACATGAGAAGGTGAGGCTCCTAGCTGGCTGGGTGGGGGGGCTGCCACTGGGGGGCGCCGTGAGGCTGCCTTGAGATGGGGCGTCACTTACTCCCGAGGGGAGCCACGTTGGCCACAGCAAGGCTCAAGAAGTTCTTGGGGGATGTCCTGCCTCAGGTCAAGGGACCAGGAATAGGGGAAACCATCGGGGGGGGGGGCAGACGGCCCAGGCAGCTCCCTCACTGACTCCGACATCTGATGTATGTCTCTTTTGCCTTTTTCCCTTCCTTGTTTGGTCCTGTCTCTCCATTTTCACTTTCTGTTTCCCATGCATTCCCTCAGAATAATTCTAGGTCTCAACTTAAATACCACCTCTGCCAGGAAGGAATCCTTCCCCAATCTCCTCAGACAGGACAAGGGCCCCTGCTCTGTGTGGCCAGAGCACTCTCTTCTGTGTGACTGTCTGGCTTGGTTCAGTCGCCTTAGTGGGGACAGAGACAGATAAACCGAGCTCTGGCTGCACAGCTGGTGTGGGTTATGACAACTCCTAACCCAGGTGCAATGATGGACGTCAGCACAAGGCTGTGGAGCGTGGAAGAAAGGTGCCCAACCTGGGTAGGAAGTCAGGGGAGGCCTCCTGGGGGAGGGGCTGCCTCCTGGGGGAGGGGCTGCCTGTGCTGAGTTCTGAAATATAAACAGGTGTTAGGGGAGGGAAAAAATTCAAATTTATCAAGACTTTAAAAAATAGGAACTGGTATCTGCCATCAGTAACGATGAACTATCCTATTATTGTACCTTTTGCTTTGAGATACTAGCTCAGGATGACATGCTACCATTGATTAGATGAGAAGGTATTTAGAAAGTAAGAATCCAGAACGTTACCAGTAATTTTTTGAAATGAGAACAGAAAATGTTATTGAAGAGTAGAAGTAAAAGGACACAAGCCTTGCTCCGCTGGGTCCTGGGCTGCGTGTGGCAGCCTTGGCCTCTGATCACACTCGGGTGCCCGGAGCACAGCTGACCTTGGCCCTGGCTGGGCGTCTCCTCTCCCCCCCCCCCCCCACGGAGCGCGAGCAGATGCAGCGCTACAACCAGCGCATGCTGGAGCAGCTGAAGGTGCGGCAGCAGCAGGAGAAGGCGCGGCTGCCCAAGATTCAGAGGAGCGAGGGCAAGACGCGCATGGCCATGTACAAGAAGAGCCTCCACATCAACGGGGCGGGCAGCGCCGCTGAGCAGCGTGAGAAGATCAAGCAGGTGGGGCCTGAGCCTTACGTGGCGGGGGGGATATAAAACGTAAGATGCAGGACAGGGTCGAGGAATGGAATGGAAACCTCATAAGCCTGGCGCTGAATCCCCCTGTGGTGGACAGGACAGGTGGGGAGGGAACCTGGCGTTGCTGTCTCGTGCGTCACTCCTTTCACACCCCGGGGGATCGGTCCTGCAGCTGCCTCTGAGGATAAACCCCTTCCTCTCATCCACCGAGACCCCACTCACAAGTCACCCCCGTGGCTCGGGGACATGGAGTCCGTGGCCCTGGGCTCCTGTGACTCCTAGCACGTGTCACAGCACAGGGTCATGTCCCCACTAGCCTGGGGGCTCTTTGAGGGCAGGGACTGGGTCTCAGCTCAGGCGGAGGACTTCGAGCAGGGGGGCACAGCATGAGTGGCGCAGCGGTCGTGCACAAATCAGCCCCACAGGTGGGGTCCTCCTGGGACAGGGCTGAGGCAGGCCACCCTGTGGCCCCCTGAGGGACCCCTCTGTTCTCTGTTGCAGTTTTCCCAGCAGGAGGAGAAGAGACAGAAGTCAGAGCGGCTGCAGCAGCAGCAGAAACACGAGAACCAGATGCGGGACATGGTGGCCCAGTGCGAGAGCAACATGAGCGAGCTGCAGCAGCTGCAGGTACCGCTCTTTTTCTCCGTTGCCCCCGGGCAGCCAGCTCTCTGGGGGCCCAAAGAGCCCACAAACAGGGGAGTCTCATCAGACAAGCTCGGGGTGGAATGGATTCAGTCCTGCTGTTCTGTGCGATGCTGGCCAAATCACGTCGCCCTCCCAAGCCACAGTTCCCATGTCTATAAAATGGGTGTGTGTGCGTGGGGTGATAACTCCTATTTTGCAGAACTGGAGCGAGACTTTGTAAATGTGATGACGGAGCTGAAAGTGCCATGCCTGGGGCCCAGCAGTCGGCATGCC